CCTACTCCTCCTCCTACCTCCTGCACTCCTCCTCCTCCTCTATCCTCCGCCTTCCCTGCCCCGTCCTCCTCCCTCCCCCGCTCCTTCCTCCCCTCCTCCTCCGTCCTCCTCCTCTCCACCTCCTCCTCCTCCGCCTCCTCTTCTCCCCTCCTCCCTCCTCTCCTTCCGCCTTCCTCGTCCCGTTCCCCGTTCTCCTCCTCCTCCTCCTCCTCCTCCTCCTCCTCCTCCTCTTCCTAGCTTTCTCTCCTCCTCCCCCTCCTCCCCTCTTCTTCTCCTGTTCCTTCTGCCTTCCACGTCCGCCTCCCCCCCTCCTCCTCCTCCCCCTGTTTTCTCCTCCTCCATCCATCCTCACCCCTCCTCCTCCTCCTTCTTCCTCCTCCCTCCTCCTCCTCCTCCTTCCGCCTTCCTCGTCCCGCCTCATCTCCTCCTCCTCCTCGTCACCCTCCTTCCTCCTCCTCCTACCTCTTTCCTGCTTCTCCTTCCAGTCCCCCCCTCTTTCCTCTTACTTCTCCTGTTCCTCCCCATTTTGCTTCCTCGTCCCGCCCTCCTCCCCCTCCTCCTCCTCCTCCTGCTTCTCCTCCTCCTCCTCCTCGCTCCTCCTCTTCCTTCCCCTCCTCCCCCCATCCTCCTCCTCCTCCTCTTCCTCCTTCTCTTCCCTTCCTCCTTTCTCGTCCCAACCCCCCCTTCTCTTCCTCCTCCTCCTCTCCTCCTCCTCATCCTCCTCCTCCTCCTCCTCCTCCTCCTCCTTCCTCCTCCTCCTCCTCCTCCTCCTCCTCCTCCTCCTCCTATCCTTATTCCTTATTAGAATATACTCCTACTCCCCCCTCAGGCCGGCCAATAGCTCCTATCCTTATTCCTTATTAGAATATACTCCTACTCCCCCCTCAGGCCGGCAGATAGGGGCCGCATCCGGGTGGTCCCATCCTAACCTGTAAAAAACAATACAAAATCAACATTTTTCTTATTTTTTCCTCTCGACATGGACGTCCTGTCGTCCACGGCGATAATCCATTGCAAAAAACACCACAAAGAGCACACGCGCGCGTTCATGTCATAATCCTACCGAACACCGTGTGTTTGCAAGCATTTCAACATAAAAACATCAAAAACCCAATGCTTTTTTCCACAAAAAATCTACGCATTTCCTGCCCGGGCTCTCTGGCTGAAATCATAGGAAAACCATAGGAATCTTAATAATTCTGTCAAATCCAGCGATTTCACGTCATCGCGCGGTGCACTCGCGATGCTCTGTCATGCACCCAGGCCGCGAATCCTGTGCAAAAAATACCACGCGGGCGACATGCGCGCGCGTCGCCGCGAGCGCATGCTCAAATCCTTCTAGAGTCGTCGCCGTCATTGGCACCGTCGCATGGACGTCCTGTCGTCCACGTCGCAAAATGCATGGCAGGAATGGGACGCGGCGCACACCCCGCGCCCGCCCATCCAATCCGTCCCATTCTAATCTGCAAAAGACAATACACAGTTTTGTTTTTCTTGTCAACATGGTCGTGCTGTCGTCACGTCGCAAAATGCGTGGCAGGAATGGGACGCGGCGCACACCCCGCGCGAAGGGGTGACATGGTACTACTACTACCACTACCACTACCAACACCACTACCACTGGTACTACTACTCCTGCCTCTTGGGGCCTCCTGGGCCCCCTTGGGGTGTCCTGTCAGACCGTCGGGCTTCCTCCGGCCACCTCTGGCTTCCTGCGGTGTACCGGGCCATTCTCGACTCGTCTGGCAATGCGTGCGCGGCATTCAACACGCGCTCGCCAGTTCCCGTCGGCAACCGCCATCGCGGCCGCATCAGCTGTACCAAACCGGCTGGCCGGTGTGACTTCGGCCCCCAGTTGTGCCAGCTTTGCTTCTTATGTTGTGGGAGGGCGGGTGGGACTGGGCATGCCATGCTTGACTCGCTCGAGCTGGCGAGCTTGACTCCTACTCCTACTCCTACTCCTACTCCTCTTCTCCTACTCCTCCTCCTTCCGCCTTCCTCGCCCCACCTCCTCCTTCCCCTTCTCGTCCTCCTCATCCTCCTCCTGCTCCTCTTCCTCCTCATTTCGCATTCCTCGTCCCACCTCCTCTCGCTGTTCCTCCTCCTCCTCCTTTTCTTCCTCCTCCTCCTCCACCTCCCGCGTTCTCCTGTTCCTCCTCTTCCTTTCCCCCCGCCCCTCCATCTCCTTACCCTCCTCCTTTCTCGTCCCACCTCTTCCGCAGCCTTTTCCTCTTGATTCCTTGTTTTTGGAAGCACGAGCATCCGACGGATGCTGCCCCCCCCAGGGCCAGTCGGCCCTGGGGGGCTGATCGAACCCGTGAGCCAGGCGACTCCTTGAGCAATCGCTCCAGGAGTGGCCAGCTGGTGGAAATTTTCAAGGTTCAAGACAGCAGACGGTAGAGAGAAGAGAAGGCGGCGGCGCGACGGGGCGGCGCGAGGCGACCCTAGACGCGGGGAGCCACCGGGAACCCGCTCAAAAGGCTCCAGGCCGACCATGCTGTAGGCTACGCGGGGGTTCGACCACTCGGAACGCAGCTCATCCCCCCACCGTCCTCCCCTGCCCACCCCCCCGCCGCCTAGGAGGCGCATGAGACTGCGCTTCTGGAGGCGGGCGACCGCCAGCTCCCCACCCCAGGCGCCTACGATCGGAGCGAGGACCCGCGCGGGGTTGGTGACGAGTCGCGGGCCGGGCCCCCCGGAGGGCCAGCGCCGTCGCCGCCGCGCTGCCGCGCGCCCAGGCCTTCAACGAAACTCGCCCCGCCAGGCCGACCGAGCGAGGCCAACGCCGAAGCCTTGGCATCGCTCGGACGTGTGCATTTTTCATTTCGTGAGGACCATCGAGGAGCATCCTTGATCATTTGGCGAAAAAACCACGCACGAAACCGAACAAAAACACAGGGAATGGACGTCCGAGCGATGCCAAGAAGCTGCCTGTCCACCCGCGGCCAGGCGAGGATGAGGCAGCCACGGGACGTGCTCGGCTCGCGCCAGGGCAGCCCAGCCAGCCGCCACCAGGCACGGCTGGCACGGTCCAGACCGCCAACCCAACTGTGGGCGACGAGACCAGAGTGAGGGCACCACGGCCCCACGGGGTCCGCATCACCTACCAGCGTGAAGGCATCCGACCGGCTCCAGTACAGGCCACCGAGCGGAGAGGTGCCACGCCGCGACTCACTGCCGCCAGTGAGTCTGCTGACCCCGACCGAGGGAGTACCCGCACTCCCAGCATCACGACGCTGCAGCAGTGTGCTACCAGCCTTGGTCATAAGCTGCGCAGCGCCCATGATCAGGCAGGACACCGTCTTGACATCTTCCAAAGGGCACAGACCGCCAGGATCGACCTCCATTCGGCCCGATCGCCTGCTCGGTCCCCTCCCCATGCAAGCCACCAGGCGCGCTTCGATGATGCTCACCGATAGCACACAAGTGCTATCCTCTCCGTATAGTCTGAGTGCGCTGCGTGAGCTGTAGGCAATGTCTCCGTAGCCCCAGCACTGGACCGCCGCGTGGGATGCCCCAGGGTGGCGCACTCATTGTCTGGGCGCCAGATCGCACCTGCCAGAGCGCGTAGACATCCTGCCTGTCTGTTCACGGGGGAATGCAAAAAAGCAAATCCCACCCTTATCACCAGATCCCACTTTTATTTTCCAGCCGGGGTCTCCTACAGTGCAGTTTTTGATACATGCTCCGCGTGCGGATCATGTATTCAAAATGCAGGGATTTAGCATTAGAAGCAACGATGAGTTCATGCATAACTTCATCCATATATTCGTCATGTATCAAAATCCTATCTAAAAAAGAATAAATAAACAAGTCGATGTATTAAACATTGCCCTGTGCAGACCGCGCCGGGGGCATGGGAAACTCCCCACCCGTGCTTCGCGTAAGCGGCACCTCCCGCCTTTTTCGAGGCCGGCCCCGCGGGAGCCCGTGTCCCGCGGGCCTTGGCAGACGCTGTTCGAACCGGTGCGCTCCCGCCTGCCCTCTCCGCCCCTCTCTTTTCCTCCCCCTCTCTGCCTGTCGTTCTCCCACTTCGCCACCGGGTTCATGGAAAAGGCGCGCCTTTGCAAGTACGTCGACTACGGCACCGCCTGATCCCGAGGCTTTGCCTCCTCCCGGCCTCGTTCTGGGGCTGCGCCCCCCTTTTCCTCTTCCATCTCTGCCTAATTCAAGCTTCGCGCGGCCCGCTTAGCTTCGACCGGAAGAGGTGCGCTCTCGACCCGCTCCCCCTTCCGCCGCCCCTCCCGGAGAGCCCTCCGCGGCCAGGGGTCAGGGAGCCAGAGACGGGGTAACAGCAGACGGGGTAACAGGGAACGGCCGGCTCGAGGCGTCAAGTGGCCCCTTGGTTTCGCGTTTGATGCAGCACCTTCCACATGCTGGCTGCGTTGCATATCATATTTTCGGCTGCTGCACTGCAACTTTTTGTCTTGGGCCCCCTGTTACCCGGTCTGTGGGGCTTGTTTGCAGTTTTTTCCGCAACTAGTTGCCAACAAATTGCAGTGCAGTTGTTTTGCGTTGCAGAAAAATGCAGTGCATGTGTTTGTTCTGGTCGTTGCAGTTTTTCCACCTGGATCCCCTGGTGGGTTTGTTACCCCATTTAGGCGTTACCCGGCTTAGTGCTCCCTGAAGGGGGTGCAGGACCAGCGCGGAGCAGGCAGGCCTCGTCCTCCTCGCCACTCGTCCCCGCCCCCGCCCTTCCCCTCGGTCCCGCCCCCCACTCGCCGCTCGCCAACGTCCTCTTCGCCCTCGCCCACATTCTCTTCGCCCTCGCCCCCATCCTCCTCGCCCACGCCCCCATCCTCCTCGCCCTCGCCCACGTCCTTGTTGCCCCCGCCCCTGTCCTCCTCGCCCTCGTCCCCGTCCTCTTCGCCCTCGCCCCCGTCCTCTTCGCTCCCGCCTTTCCCCTCGCCCTCGCCCCCTTCCTCCCCGCCCCCGCCCTCGCCCACGACTAACACCACCACGGTTGCGGCGGCGGCTTGGGCGGCGGGGCGCCGCCAGAGGCGCCGCCAGCGAGCACGTCGACCGCTTCCACGACAGCGGTGACCACCACCGACGTGGCGCCGGCGCCATTGCCGCCGCCGAGTACGACGGTGGCCACCACGTCCACTAAGGCTATCTCCTGGCGCCCCCTTGCCAGATGCACCAGGACATTTCAGGGTACGGTGTCAAGTGTGGTCGCGTATCCGACATTCAGATCGTGGAGGGGCCTTTGCCTGTCCCGTGAGGGCCCTTGGGATCGTCGATGTGTCCCTGTCGGCCCACCAAGGCCTTACAGGCTTCGTCGTTCTTTCTGGTGCGCTTGGGCACTCGGGCGGGGCCCCCCGTCGGGGAGGACGGGGGCGAGGGCGAGGAGGAAGTGGCCGAGGCGAGGCCGAGGATGGAGGCGTCGAAGGTCGAGGTGCCGGGGGTCCACCAGGAGGGCCTCGGGGGCGCCGCGGGGATCCTGGGGCGGCCTGCCGGCCGTGGGGCGGCGGGGGCCGATCGGGGCGAGCGACTGGGGCAAGGATTGTAAGGCGGGCAGGTCCCCACAGGAGGAATAGTCAAACATACAGTCGGGGCCCTGAAGAAGGAACCCTTTTCGTTGGGGAGGGGCTCCGCGTTCCTCAAGTGTTTCGCCGCTTGCCTCAGGTTTTCCTTATGTTTTCGATCGGGCATCGAAGTTTAACTCATGGAAAAAAGGGGCCTCGTTCCTTCTTTTGGGTTCCTTAGGTCAAGCCCCCGACTGTAGTCAGAAATGGTCTGGGGACGATTTTGCTACCATTTTTGGTCATCCGGAACGGGTTATTCGGAAGGGCTTCGCCCCCATGCCGCCGGCCCCCCTCTCTTGGAATGGGCCTTGCCAGAGCTGTGTTGGGATGTCTGGACGCTGACGTGAAGCAATGTCAGGACTTCACAAACTGCGGAACATCTTTCAACTGCGAGTATTGCTAATCTGCGAGGGTGTGTGGCTTCGGGAGCGTGTCAGTTACTTACAAGTGTTTATGTCTTCGGGGACGCGAATACCGTGTGATGTATGAGGATTTATGGCCTCGAGGACGTAATTACTGCGTACTTTACGAGGTTGTATGGCTTCGGGGACGCGAATATCGCGTAATGTACAAAGCTTTCTGACCTCGAGGGCGCGAACATGGAATCATTTACACAGGTTGATGTCCTCGGGGGCGCAAATATTGTGTAATTGATAAAAGGTGATGGCGTCGGGGACGCAAACATCGCGTAATCTACGAGGGTTGATGGCCTCGGGGACGCAAATACAGAGTAATTCGCAAGGGATTGTGGCTTCGGGGACGCGAGTACGGTACAATTTTTCACCAACGGCGGCCGCTGTTGTGTGCAGGCGGCCTGCTGCCTCGAGTGGACACCGTCCGCAACGATGATGGATGACAAGGAACGCCGATCGAAATGGGCAGGAACTGCTGCCGGTCTTCCTGCCCTGGGTTTCCTGCTAGGCATGGCGGGGCACCCCCCCGACGGGGGTCAACCTCGCCTCGTCGTCGCGCTGCGACGGGGGTCGGAGCGCATTCGGCTCGCGGTGGCTGCCCGCGACGGGCGTCGATGTGGGGCTACCGGCGGGGGTGACGCCCCCCGACGCTTATTCTGAAGCTCGGAGTACCCTTAGGTCGGGCATGTCCTCGTACAGGCGAATCGTGGAAACAAATTCTAAGCAAGTCAAACATGCTCGAAAATCCGCCGGCCCCCTTGCGGGGCCACCAGGCTGCGAGGACGAGGATTGCAGCTCCATGGTCCACTTGCAGTTTCCAGTCTCCACTGTTACAGCCCTGCTTTCTGCTCCCTTACCGTAAATTGTTGCTGTCCGCGCGAGGGCCGGGCGCCCAAAACAGGTTGTTTCTACCACGCCCTGGGAAGGTTCTCAGAATTCATGGGGGGCGTGGGACACGTAGAAATACATGTTCGCGTCCCCGAGGCCCAAATCCCTAGTAAATTACGCCGTCGGGCATCGTGTCCACTATTCTCTTATAGTCTGGCTGCATGACAAGACACACCCTCTTTTTCGTCAGGATGCCTTTAGTTTCGTTGGCTTGCGTTCGGCGTGGAATGTTGCAGCAGTCTCGAAGCATGCGAGTTGCAGGGCCCCCTGGGTTTCTTCGAGGTCGGTGTGTTGGGCTTCTTGATGCCAAATTGCCTTACACGAGCGATCAATAATCCGCCTTGATCAGTGTACTCTCGGTGTCCTCGGTTGCAACTGAAACGCAATAATCGGACCCTTGACCAGGAGACCTCGGCGGACTTCAGGGTTGGCTTTCTTGCGGTGGGTTTCCCGTGGACTAACTTCCATTGTGCCCATGTCGCGCGTCCAAAGATCATCGAGAATAAACGAATCCCTAACCCCTATAGCACGATGAGGCCGTGGCCTGACTTCTTTGGTCCCCGTCTTCGCGTTAGGGATGATCATCTGGGCGGCTTGGCTCGATGATACATCTGCAGAAAAAAAAACAGGGCTCCTGTCCCTAATGTTCCTAACTGTGGCTCCCTCCCAAATGGTTAGGGGCCCTTGCAGTGCTAATCTTAAGTCGGGCCTGTTCTTCTACAGGAAGAACATTCAAAAATAGTTGCAACACATTGTACGGGGGCGATGCTCCTAATATGTTTTAGCATTTGGGGTATACTTTTTGTCAATTTCTATTTTTTCGTCCAAATTCCGCCTGTAGGGGGACAGGTCTGGTCCTGGGAAAAGGCCGCGGGGCCCAGGACCCGTTTCCCGCAGGACCCGTTTCTTTCATGCTGATTTTTGCCGTGTGTCCGTGGCGACGAGCTTTGCCAACGTCGTGACAGAAGACGCGTTCTGGGCCCACTCGTTAGGAGGAGGAGGAGGAGGAGGACGAGGAGGAGGAGGAGGAGGAGGAGGAGGAGGGGGAGGAGGCGGAGGACCGGGGGGGGACAGGCTCAGGAGGGCGGCACTGGTCGACCCGCCTGGCCAGTGGCCGGTTGGGAGCCCGGTGGCCCCACCCACCCCGCTGCAGGAGCGTGCGGATATTTGTCGTCGGGGGCCCAAATCGCCCTTGGCATCGCTCGGACGTGTGCATTTTTTCTCGGCGAGAACCATCGAGGAGCATCCTGGACTAACGAGCAAAAAAAGCATGCGCGAAACCGACAAATGCACGGGAAATGGACGTCCGAGCGACGGCAAGCGCCGATCCAGCCACAGTGCATCGCCGATTTTGGGTCGCTGTTTCCTGACCATGGCGCCCCCGCCCCCCCTACCCAGGCCCCCTCGAGTTTCGACGGGAAGTTCTTCATTATTTTTGGCCTTCGGGGACCGTCAAAAAACGACTCTGGACGAAGAACCGGTCCCGGGGAAAGGGTCCAGACCGCTGGGGTCGACGTCATGAAAAGTTCATGGCGTCGGGGGTCTGGGTACGTCGCCCCTCGTCCGCGCGTGAGCTCCCTGCTGGGATGCCTCGTTCAGGGAGGCCCCGTCTGGCACAGGCGTGCGCCCCCTGCTGCAGGGCGCGGTCGGGGGCCAGGCCGCCGCGGCGGCGGCGGCGGCCGCCCGCGCGCCCGCACAGGACCAGGCCCCGACCCAAGGCAGCGGTTAGGGTTAATTAGTCGGGCCTGTCCCTCTACTCGGGGGCGGAAAAGAGGGGGGTGATGACTAGGGGGGGTGTGGATATCATTGATATCATGGCGGGGGCCACGATATTTCCCAGATTTCATGGCGCCTCTTCTCATTTCATTACGTCCCTGGCCCCCCCGCTGGGCCGCGCACATGCCGCCGGTCATGAATTGCACCCCCCCTCTTGGACACCCCCCTCTTGGCCGTTCCCGATCTACCCATCGGCCGTTGAAAGCAGGCATTTGTCGAGTAGGGGATCGACGACAAAATTGATTGACTCCAAACTCGATGTCCTCGCCGGATATACAACAGAATGCTTGCAGTATAGTGTTCGAAAAAGCGTGTTCTACCGCTGCTGGCGGAAAACCGGGAGGGGGGGGTCACTGGAGGTTCCCAACCCGTCCCCCCCCCTCGAAAACCGGAGGGGGGTCACTACCGGTTCGAACCCCTCCCCTCCCCCCCCCCATCATGAAAAGGGGTGGGGGTCACTACCGGTTCGAACCCCCCCCTCCCCCTCTCGAAAACCGTGGAGGGGTCACTACCGGTTCGACCCCACCCCTCTCGCCGCCGGCAAACAATTCCTGCTCCTCGGGACAGTTGGACCATGGTGGGGATACTGGGACAGTGGTGGGAACGGTGGTGGTGGGGACAGTGGCGCGGGGACAGCGGGACAGTAGTGCGGACAGTGGTGTGGACAGTGGTGGTGGGGACAGTGTTGAAGGGACAGCGGGATAGTGGTGGGGACAGCGGGACAGTGGTGCGGACGGTAGTGGTGGGGACAGTGGTGAAGGCGGTGGTGAGGACAATGGTGGGACAGTAGTACAGTGGGAAGAATGGTGGGGACAGTGGGGACAGTGGGACAGTGGTGGGGACACTGGGGACGGTGGGACAGCACAGTGGGACAGCGGCGGGGACAGTGGGACAGTGGTGGGCACAGTGGGGACAGTGGGACAGTGGTGGGGACCGTGGGGAAAGTGGGGAGAGTGGGGACCGTGGCGGGACAATGGTGGGGAGAGTGGGGACAGTGAGATACTGGTGGGGGCACTCGTGCGGACAGCGGGGACATGGTGGGAACAGTGGACATTGGTGGGGACGGTGGTGGTGGGGATAGTGGTGTGGGGACAGTGGGAATATGGTGGGGACAGTGCGACAGTGGTGGGGACAGTGGTGGTGGAGACAGTTGTGGGGGCGGTGGCGAGGACGGCGGTGGGGCAATGGGACAGAGGTACAGTGGGGACAGTGGTGGGAACAGTGGGACAACTCAGTGGGACAGCGGCGGGGACAGTAGGACAGTGGGACAGTGGGGACAGTGGGACAGTGGGGACAGTGGGACAGTGGTTGGGACCGTGGGGAGACTGGGGAGAGTGGGACCGTGGTGGGAACAGTGGTGAGGACAGTGCGACAGTGGTGGGGGCACTGGTGTGTGTGTGTGTGTGTGTGGACAGTGGGGACGGCGGTGGTGGGACCATGGTGGGAACAGTGGTGGTGAGGACAGTGGTGCTGGGGACAGCAGTGGGGGATGTGGTGCGGACGGTG